CCCATCATTTTAATTTTTTAACAAACTAATATCTCATCAATGTTTTTTGAGCCAAACTATTTCCCCATCATGTTGATAAAACATTAGCTGTGACTTCGAGCTTCCAACTCTAGGAAAAATCATCATTGATTGTGAAATTGATGGGGAACGAAGAATTGAGAGACTTGATAAGATCGATGCAGTTCGAAAACATGTTTATCTGGATCAAAATTAGTCTTCTCATCTGCCTGTTTGAGTTTTGTAAAATCATCAATAGTCTCATCTCAATCAAAATAAATCCAAAAAAAAATAATTTAAAGCAAGTAGAGATTCATGCATGAACATGGGGTTTGGCCGGGATAGTGGCGACTCCGAGATTGAAATTAACTAGAGAGGAAAAGTTTAATTGACAAATGTTAGGGATAACAAAAAGGATATGATAGTAATTTAACTATTGAGAAAAATATTAAATGTGGATGACTATAATTTTTTATGTAAATAAAAGTCATGCTCTTTTTAATAATTTTGATCTTTAAAATGCCCTTAATGAAAATTTTCCCTTAAAAGTTATATACATCACTTTCATAAACAAGTCAAATGCCAATCATGAATGATTTTATCCCTTACACTTGTGCGTCTACCAATAGATTTAAACTAAAAATGTCAAAAAAAAAAAGAGAGAGAGAGAGAGAAAAAAATTTATCTATATGTTCACATATGGTAAGTTTAATTTTAAGGGTTTTTTTCTACAAAGAAACTCTAAAATATTTGAAGTGCCCAAAGTATCATTGTCAATACAAAATGTTATGATTGACTGTTTGAGATTGAGAGTATAATAACCAAAAGGTTCCCTTTGTATTGTGTGTTACTCAAACAACTAAATCATTTAATAGGAACAGTGTACACCATCATTGTTATGGAATCAAACGGGGGAAGCAAAATTAAAGTAAATTCCATAATAATCCAAAAGATAACAGAGCTAGCTGAAAAATTAAAAGAGAGAAACTAAAAGTAGCCACAAAATATAAACATCATCCATGTTGTTGCCAAAACAACCTTATAGCCGATTGTCTCTCACAGAATTCTTGTTTTTAATACAATGAAAATAATAATTACTAAATTGTGGAACCATAATATAAGCCTTAAAAAATGTATAAAGGTGTATGTTTCATGTCCTTTGTCCTTGGGTTAGTCTGGGCTCCTGGGGATGTTGAGTTTCAATATCAATTAGAACCCTTCATAATCTAAACCTAGTCTATTAGATGCCTATAATAAACAAAAAGAATAAGAAAGAATGTGCAGGAACTTAAAAATAAATGTTAATCCCGAATCTACCGTATTTCGACTTTGTTCATGACGATGATATAATAACTAACTTTTGGGTGTATCATACTATACAGAGAGTTGATTTTTAGCCAATCCATTTGTAGTGTCTAAGGAGCATTAGTTTTATGCACAAGTCCAATACCCTCACGAAATTTTAACAATTCTTTTTAGAACTATTCTCCTCTTTTATCACTTTTCAAACCTTAATTTTTTGATTTAGTTGATTTCCAAAAGAGATTTATATCTTAAAACGTCACAAGTACTTTATGTTTAATTTTCAATAGAACATGAACAAAACGAGAACAATGGAAGTTATTAAGTATTTCTCACTGCTCCTTTTTTTTTAGGAGAACTAGGGGGTACCTGGCAGACATCCCCTGATTTTATTAATTTTAAAGAAAAAATATATAGTGCTTAATACTTACCCAAAAGGAAGAACCGTCTTACAAAGATGTACTAGAATCTCATGACGTATCCGAGTACAAGCTAAAAGCTAAGAAACTATCTTAAATTGATATTCTAATATCCCATGACAATAAAATTAGTCTATGAACTGTCTAATAATCATTTTCTTGAAAATCCTGAAATTCAGAATAATGAAAAATTATCTACATACAATAAAATTATTTAAGACGCAAATAAGGAAAAGACTTTTGATCAAGGTATAACAAACCTTTAGTTTTTTTGCGGGACTTCTAATGTTGAACCATATTCGTTTGATTGCCCTTTTGCTCCCAATTTAGCCAAAGAGTCTGCCACACTATTAGTCTCACTGTTTCTTGTTAAAACACCATTAAATTCATATAACTCAAATGTTCTAGATCAAGCAAAAATGTATTTATTCAACTTTATAAAAAGATGATTTAGTAATGTTTGGTTACACACAAGTTGCACACTTTCATTTTCAAACTCATTTAAATCAATTAATCCATATTTAGACACAATAAATTATTTTATAACTTACATGTCATAATCTATTATATGAACAAAGACTTAATCAAATAAATAAAAGTATTATTGATTTCAATGATACTCAACTCAAAAATGCTATTACAAGATTAGTCTTTTTCAACAAACCCTTCATTCTTATATAAAATAACATTATCATATTCTAAAACAGTTTATCTCTTTTTTTTTGTTGAGGAAATTGATGGATACAAGACTTTTATTAATAAGGTAGGAACGTGTAGTACATTGGTTAGCATAACCATTTCCCAAAAGTAAACTGCAAGGGCACATTGTCTTTCCTAAAAATCTTGGTTCCCACACCGTTAGTTATCACCACTTCGTAACCCTCAAGATCAACTTAACTCTTGAATTGTTTCTTATAATTGCAGACATGAACATCAGTTCCAGCTGAGCCATATCACCACTCTTCATAAGAGTTTTGGGGTAGCCATATTCAACTCAATCATTTTGCCAAGAGAAATTACAATCAAAAGAGTATCATTGCCAACAAGATTTGCACTAAGAAACGAATTTCCTTTTCATTTTGCTGGTAGTGTACCTTTCACCACAATTATAAGACTTTTGATCCTTTTTCTTATATTTGGAGCTTTCAAACTTCTTTCTCTTTTTGATAATGAAATTTATTCCAGCCACAAAGTTGACTTTTGGATCCTCTCCAATCTCAAGAATTTGAAGAAACTTAGCGCCCTCCTCACTCCGCAAAATGCTTCAGGATAATAGGCTATTGCGGAAAAATACTAATATCTATTTGATTTCGTACCAATCAAAGAATATGTTTTAAGATTGAACAAATGAGAAATTGTAAAGGGTAGTTTAAGGAAGTAACAACACAAGAACAATAGAACAAGAATCAACTATGAATATAAAGGTATATAAGCGTATTAAAATGAATCAATTAACGGATTATATGTAATAAATGTATTATACATTACCCTTAACCTTAAGACAATATTTACTTTGAATATAGTACCAATGGGATTGAATGTGAAAAATTGTCCAAAGAAAAAAGATGGTAAATTGCTACGTGACTTTATATTTAATTTACCCCCTCCGAGAAAAAAAAAAAAAAAGATACTACACAAAGTCTCCCTCTTCCTCTCCTGCCAAAGCAAGTGAGATCTCTTATATAAAATACAAAGTAGTTTTACAATATTGGAGTGACAACTATTATTATTGTATCTTAATACAAAATTGTTCATATATCTCACCTATCCCTTTTCTTTTTCTTTCTTTTTTTATGAAAGGTGAATTTCATTCCAAATGGGTGAGAGAAGTACATACATCCTCTATTTGTCAACATGTCCTTTTAGGATTTACATAATTTTAACTATTGAAAATAGTTACTAAAGATCGCCATATAAATATCGAAAGATTCCTCCTCCACCTATCCCGTATTTATTCGATAACAATCTTTCTTTTATATCAATTTCATTGAATTGGTTTATTTAGTTTGACCATTTATGGATTTGTTTTTAATTGGAACATTGTAAAACTAGATTATGGAGGGGGTGGAGGAGAAGATATAATAGGAGAGTTGATTTGAAAAAATATTTACATGAAACTAATTAACTTTCCTTTGGCTCATTTTTATTATTGTGATTTGCTTTTCAGATTGCAGTTGTTTTGGATGAATTATTATAATTAAACAACAATGGAACTGATGATTTTCTCAATAGTACATTATAGGTTCATGATCATATGTAATAGTTCCATGCCCAAACATTGATAAGGTTTTGATCATATACATTTACATTCAAAACCGTAATACAGTAGAACATTGGTAAATTAATAATTTATAAATTAATAATTTCTAGTAATTAATAATTTTCTCGGTCCCAACTTAGGATTAATACATAAAATGAAGAATAAAGATAAAATGATAAGATAATAATACTTCAAAAAATCTCCTATGTATCTATAGATCCAAATAATAACATAAATTAATATTTAGTACAATATGAACTGTTGATATTTGTTTTTTAGTCCTCGAAGATAATATGAATTATGTATGGATATTTCGCATTCATAAGAGTTTAGTACTTGAGTAATTCGGATGTAGAGACAATTGCAAATTATATAATCTAGTGACCGTTCTTTTTTTTCTCATTTAAATTCTTTGAATTAATAATTTATTAATTTATCGATTATTTAATAATTTTCTGAACTAATAGTGTTGGACCACCAAAACTTACGAGACTAAAATGGTCATTTTTTCCCCTAAATTTGGTTATGCTTGGGGTACATACAATACGTAATTAACAATTCTACAATAGGGTAATATCCAATTGTATAGTCAAATTGGATATGTACTCCTCTCTTCGATCGGCAGGCAAGGATTAAAGTTTTTATTTTTCGCAAAACACACAATGTAATATTGTACTTTCACTAATTATATAGACCTGCGACTATATTGCATTGCATAAATTCATAAACTATATTACGCATCTCCCGAACTCCCAATCTTGGAACTTTATAGAATTTACAACAGACAAATAATTGACATAATTAATCTATCTATGTGTGTTTGGAGTCGTGTTTTTCATGTTCTTTTCTATTAAAGGTCAACAAATAAGGCTTGTGTTCCGTCAAGAAATTTCGTTTTAGTAATTTTAAAAAATTCCGTAGCATTTTCTTTTAAAAAAGACCTTTTTTTTTTTTTGAACCATAAACAACAACTTACGCCTCACGTATTGACATTTCACAGCAATACTCTTAATTCAATTCCAAAATGTAACCTCCTTCATTTACACCATGGCAAAAAATGAACTTTTAACTGTTAAACCATAACTTCCTTCAACCTATAAATTAATGCTGTTTTTGACAATTGCCATGGAGAAGAAAACTTGTATTAAAGAAAAACAAAAAGAACCCTCATTCATTTGAAGGATTTATAATCCATCAAGGTTGAGAAATTAATTTCTTTAACCATGAAATTGAATCTCTCCTCATAAATACCTTCCTTCAAAAGCCACAGATCCAAAAATCAAAACTCCATTTCTGATAATTCAATCAGAAACCCTTTTTTTAAGATTAGCCTATTCTTTCTTTCTGTTAGGAATTATGAACATGAGTGCACAAAATGGAATAGCCAGTGCTGTATTAACAGCCATTGAAGAGCAATTAGAGGCACCCCTTTTGGATGATCAAACAGAAACAGGAGGAAAACCACAAAAAACACCAGGGCAAAAAGTTATCAGGAAGACATTCAAAGGGACAGCACATTTAGCCAATCTTCTTCCCACAGGTTCAGTTCTTGCATTCCAAATGTTCTCACCATCTCTGACTCATGAAGGAAAATGTCAATCCATCGTCTACCAATCCTTAACTTTAGGCTTTCTCGGCCTCTGCGCCGTGTCGTGTTTCCTCCTCTGCTTCACGGATAGCATCAGGGATGAACGGGGAAAAGTCCGGTATGGCGTGGCAACGTTTAAAGGATTTCGGGTTCTGGATGGCTCCATCGATGTTCCTCCTGAGGATGCAGACAAGTACAAGATCAATTTCATGGATTTCTTTCATGCATTTATGTCCCTTTTGATTTTTGGAGCTGTGGCAATGTTTGATCAGAATGTGATGAATTGTTTGTACCCAAACCGATCAGGTAAAATGCAGGAGATCCTGACGATAGTGCCTGTTGTTGTTGGAGTCGTTGGTAGCCTTATGTTTGTTGTATTTCCTAGCAAAAGACATGGAATAGGTTTCCCTCTCTCCCGGAATTAATGCAAATTCCTTTTCACAATTGCAACATTCAGTGATAATTCATTTTTTGATCCCATATTCTTGCTGAGAAGAAATAATTCCCTATTTTAAGGGTTTTTTTTTCCCCTTTTCAAATGCCGATAACGCATGAAAGATCAATAGTTGGTGGATCATGATGTTATAGGTGTTGGATATCCCCATGTGGTAGGTAAGGTTAGACGTTTTAAGAAAACACACACAAAAGAAACTCACTACACTACAGATTTATTACAGCCAAAGATCAAGCTGAAGAAGTTATTAATTAGAAGAAATCAATGAAACGGTGCATCTTGTATTCTGCTGGTGTATTCATTAGAGCTCAAGTGCCTTAAAAGTTCAATTAAGGACTCGAATAATGACAACAAGATGCACCAAAAAAGGTGGTATTATCTGAGCAAGTAAATTTCGCGTACCATCCTAATTCCTAAGTAACAGTGGCTTGAATCAGTATCGTTAGTTACTCCTCATCACCAGTCAAAAATTGATCTGAAGCTTCTATCTGACTTGAATCTATCATAAAGGAGCTCCCCGCTTCGGCAATCCAGCTAGGCTACGCTATAATGGTAAGACACCAAAACTCTTCACTCCGATCTATTAGCATTCATGTAATGCTGTCATCATCATGGTGAAGATCATCCTTAATTTCTCCACGAGCAATTGTTTGGAAATTGATTTGGGAGCCTTCTGAAGAAAACAATCTTTTGAAAGATTCATATGAAGCAAAGAAAAGTCCTCCTTGAGTCACATACATAAACAATCGTGGAATCAAACCCCTGAAATGTTGGAAGGATTGATCATGGGAAACCCCAGAAGATACTTCACGATATCTTACAACCAGCTAAAACAAACTGACAAAAGAAGTGTACAGATATGCAACTGTGTTTCAAGTTCTAACCTGTAGAGACCTCTTAACCCTTCATTCTTAGCAATTTCTAAAAGGGCATCAAAGACACCACCATACAGGTTCAACGATCCAGGGATCTGCGAGAAAAGACTTGTTACTTTTTTCCCAGTGGGAGCAAAACAATCATTTGATGCTTCATAGAGCACCTATATTCAAAACCACATGATCATAAGTATCAAGATCGACATTAGCACAGAATGGTATGGATACCCATATACAGAATGTAGATTAAACATCTTACCTGTGTTTGTAATCTTGTCTTGACTACGTCAAAGGGAGTGGTGAATAATGCAGCAGTAGAAGCAGCTAACCCTCCAGACACCAACTAAAAGAACAGGGGAAATATGTTAAATAAAAAGTGCCAGGCAGAACGAAGCAAAAACAAAAGGACTTCAACTCAGCAGGTGTTATTAGGTGTTATTATTTTGAGGAAGATAACACTCGTTGAGGGACACGTATTTCTAATTCACAGCAATTCTGTAACTTAACCACATGAGAAAGAGAAAACTAATTGATGTGTGAAATTAGTAAGTGAGAGAACTGACTGTCACGATTGTATTGGTTTGACCATCCAACTGAACTGACGACAGCAATTGCTTCATGCTCTCATATGTGTAAAACTGCAAAGTCCAGCAGATCACACAAGTTCAGAAAGAAGCCAAATCTTCTTCGTACAAAGGACAGTTATCCTTTTAAATGTGGTTTCAGGAAAGAATCAAAATTTCAGATTTTGGGGAATTGATTAAAAGCAAACTACTCCTGAATATATAGTTTATGAGGGCATACTTTTATGATAGAATGTGGAACATTTCTACACAATACAGCTCCCCAACCAGCGTACAATGAGGTCAAACCACCTCTTTCAACTATTCCCATGAATGCATTCCTGTTGAAGCCAAAAATGAAATAAAATTGTGGTTTAAAGAAATTACAGAAATATATAAGAATAAACTGGTGAGAATATACATGATTCTACTCTGCGTTTCTGAGGGTGAGTCAGAAATTTATGCATCAAAATCAATGATATATTCTCAATAAAACTGCCTTAAGAGTTAGACCAATACAGAAAAATTAGAATGTGGTGGGAAAAGTCTAAGCTAGGGTCTTAGAATATATACCAGCAATTCTGGTAACGCGAACCAACTTGCATCTGCTGCTTTATACGTTCGCTGGGAGTGAAAATGAATGAAGTTGCAATACTAGCACATCCCCCGGCCACGCAATGGGCAACAGATTGATACTCCTGCATAAAAAGTTCACCATTGTAATCTCCATCAGAATTAATAATACTGCACTGGATTATATTCAATACGCTAACCAAATAACCAATTCAACCTGAAAAAAGGGATTAAGCACTTCTCACCATGGGGAGGGAAGGAAGCAATACCCCCTTCATTGATTCATATGTGAAAGTGTAAACAGCAGAAATTGGTGCCGAGGACGCAATATTGGTTGAAATTCCACGGTAAAGCCCAGTAATGCCTGGTAGACAACCCAAAAGAACAATTTAGACTTCCGACATTTCGTTAAGTCTACCGCCAAAATTACACTATTCTCTTACTCTATTTAACCAAAAGTGAGAATCATGACTCCTGCCAGAAATCACTTCAAGTATTCAAAAAGTAACACACCTCTTTGAGAAATAATGGACCTGCATGTATCAAGAAGAGATCTCTGATCAGCCCGGCAAGACTGAATGACAGTTTTGACTGTGTCCACAGGATGTAGGGACAAGCTCACAAATATACCAGCCATAGCTCCTGCATAAGCATGTTCCTGCTTTGCAAGAGCTCCATTTGACTTCTCCTTCACTGGAAAGCAAATCCCCACTTTGGATTTCTTCCCAACGGCACCATCCTGTAGATGATTATCTGTATTTTCCTGCAGGTCAGCTCTACCTGAGATTTCTCTTTCACCAAAATCACGGGCTCCAAATGGTAGAACTAGAGAATCTTCACAATGACTTGAATTTGGAAAGAACGAACTGCTGGGTGTTAAATCTTGTACATCCCTATGATTGATACATACAGTAGCAGAAGAAGCCTTCACACTCGTATTAGGATCATCATTTTGACCAAAACAGATTTCTGTAAATTTGTTTTCCTCGGTATGGGTGTCATCATTCTCTATGACCAAATTAGTATCTCTACCATTTCCACCCACAGATATACCAAAATTTGCAGATTCACAACTATTAAGTCCAATTTGGAAGTCAACACCATCATGTTTCTCCATACCAGTAAAGTTCGCCAGGCGTTCTTGAGTAGAAAGAGCTCTTCTGGTCATCCATCCAGATAATCCATGCAAATGACATTTTAAATCCACATTTGAAGCACTTGTTCCTTTCAAAGGGTCCTGAATCATATGATCATTACCATGAAGAAGTTGCCTAAGAAGGGATTTAGTTCCACTTGAAGGTTGAATGAATGAAATCTTGTCTCTCACTTTTACAAATCCCAGGCGTTCACTAGCTGAGGGCAGAGAATCCCATGTTTTCATCGGATGGATGGGGCAGTTTTGATTGTTAACTGCTACATGGACATTATGTGTCCCCCCCTCGGACGAATGCCAAAGAACACTGCACTCCTGTTGACAGCCACTTTCATACCTACCGGTCGATTTATTGACCAAGATAGAAAGAGGATCAGTTACATTGTCCCATACAGAGGCAAGAGCTGAAATGAGCTCCCTTGTGCTGCATATTTGTGTATCTCTTGGTTCAGGAGTCTTGCTCTTCTTATCCGTTGCAGAAGCAGAAACGTGATCTTTCAGACCATAATTAACAATCTCAAAACAGGCTCCACGCGATGAACCGCACCTATACTTGATTGAAGGTTTATCTCGCCATGGAGGTTTATGACCCTCGGCCATTTCTCATGGAGAGTTGGTAGACAAGCAACTGATACATGGATAAGATATGCTACATTAGAAAAATTAAGTAGAGCTTTGAATTTCTCTATTAGGAGAAAGTAGTATCTTAATAATTCCAGCAAACGAGGCATTAAGTCCGATCCACCATTTGGAAGGCAAACCAACGGAAAAGGCAAGTTAAGAGAACCACAAATCAAGTAGAATTTAAGCAACATCTCCATTTGATAGGTCTCCTGTGGACAAAGAAGAACTGAAAATGCTTTGACGGATTGAGAGCAAAACTTATTCATTACAATGCATGCCTTAGGTCAAGAGTACAATCCAGATACTTACCCCTACAATGTCTAGTTTAAAGAATCAAATCGAAGAGTAATGAAACGAAATCCCAGAAATCAACATGATCCGTCCCAAAACTTAAATCATGTTCCTAACAATCATAATTAGCTATAAGATGTGCTGAAGCAACCATTGATATTCATTAAAACAGAGAGAAAATACAACAAAACCCAGCAAACAAACTAAACAATGCACTTTGAAATGAAACCACGGCCACACCATTAACGAAACAACAACAAGGCTCAGCTTTGAATTCGGCCACACAAATGAAGCAAAAAAGGCCATTAAACGTTAAACCCACAGCCGGGCTCCCGATGAAAATTTGAAAGAAACAAAAAATCGAAGGGTCAACTTCCAAGTGACCATCTTTTTCATTATCGAAAGGCAAACAAGGAATAGAGACAGCCATAGCAGAAACAGTGAGTTGTAGAATTGTAGTTAAAAACAATCCTAACCTCAATGAAGTTGACCCCTTTGGCTTAGAAAGGTGAATTCGCAGGATTCCCAATGCATTTTCTGGACGATTTGGCAACAGACTCCTCATGAGGTTTAAAGGGTGGTTTATCTATGGAGGGTGAAGAGTTGAAACTAAAGAGGGAAGAGCTGGATTCATTTTCTCTTTTTGTTTTGATTTTAATATTATTTTCTTTTCTTTTTTTCCCCTGTTTATTTCCATTTTGGTTTGATTTACACTGTTTACAGCATTTTTTAGTGATTTGTTCCATTCCATCCCAAAAAGATTAAACACATTCCAAGAAACACTTTTCTTTTTGAAACTATTGTTTTATACATTTAGTATCTATATAAATCTAAGATTAAAGAAACGGAAAAATAATTTAGCTATGAATTCCAAGAAAAAATATTCGTTGCTTTCATATTATCTACATCTAATAAGGTTTGAAAAGGAGATGAAAAGTATGATATTCCGAGACAAATTTGTTTCCCTTGGTGAGTTTATCCCCTTCAGTTTCAGATTTTCAGCACATAAACCCAAATTTTTTGAAAGGGAACAAACTCTGAAATTCTAAGACACACTTTTCCTTTTCAACCAATTTTTTTTTCATCTAATTTAAAAAAAAAAAAAACAAATGGAAAAAGTTTCCAAAGGATATTTTTTTCATCTAAATCTAAAATTAAAAGTTGGAAAATAAGGATATTTTTTTCATCTAAATCTAAAATTAAAAGTTGGAAAATTTTTCTGAAAAATAAAAATTATGAAACACATGATATTGTCTGAGCCCGGGTTCGAACCGGGGACCTCTAGTGTGTGAGACTAGCGTGATAACCGACTACACCACCCAGACAAGCCCAAGTCGTTGTATTGGCAACTCCAACACACACTATATATTTACTTTTAAAATTCCAAAGAAAACATAGTTACCTCTATCTTCCTAACTTTGCGTTTAGAAACAGGTATTTTACACTTTGATCTTTTTGTAGAATTACATGAATATAAACTTTGCATCACTATTAAAACTGAAAATTGCAGCCACATGTTAAAGCTTGATGTTGCAAGCAGTGATGGAGCTAAAGCATTTACCAAAGCTACACTAAATCGCTAATTCCGCTGCAAAAACAAAGAATTCCTTCTTTCTCATTTCCAAACCCGAAAGGGTATACGTAATTTGAGATTTTGAGGTGAATTAAATTACGATTCTTTCTTATGTTTGCCTAATAGTACAAGACAGATGTCTAAATCATCAAATTGATCGGCTCTTATATCTCTATATTTTGAATTTTGATCTAAGTACTGCATGCATTTCTAAATTACTCTCTCTATTTTACATAAATAGTTCACTTTGTGGTTTGTGAATCGTACTAAAACTAGCATAATTCACAAATTGCAATATGAACTATTTTTTCCAGAATTAAATGAAAGTAGTATTAAACATATCTTATAAGAATTACCTCGAATGATATGATTAATGGGTGCTTAATGTTCTATGGTGTAAAATGTGACATAGTATTACCAAACGAATATGATGCACAAACTAGATCACTTACTATGGCAAATATATATTGGCTCAGATTGTTTAGTTTGAATGTCATTACTTCTATTAATTAATAAGATATAATCAGATAGATCATGACTGCCTGGTTGTAGTTAGTTTTCGTGCATCCTTAAGTAATGCGATTGGAAAACAATTTTTCTTTTAACCAAAGGGGGGCCAAAAAAGGAACAAAATTTATAAGGAATAACTTCAGTGAAATGACAATTGTCCTTACATGTACCTTACTAGTAAATTACATACATTTTAAACAGACATATAGTTTAGATTTAGATAATGCTTTGTAAGTTTTCTCTCAATTTTCTTCTTATATATAAGTGTTTTTCTTAAGAAAATGAAGGACGGAATAAAAGAATTATTCATAATAATTGTCCTGTTTAAAATTTTATTTTAAGTACATTAAACTGAAAATAAAAATCGAAACTGGACAATCATTTCAGGATAGAAAGAGTAAAAAAAATACTAGTTGATGTGACAATGGGGGACATTCCTAGCTAATGGCAATTATTTTTATTTTCCATGCTGGTGTATATGCGAATAAATTTCAAATATGACATTTCTAATTCCAAAAATAATTGAAAGTATTTTTCTTTAAGTATTTTTCTAATAAATCACACAAATATAACAGCTTAGAATACTTGTGTTACATAAAAAAGGTATCATATTGTTGATACTGAGCTTTCCACTCAGATTAAACTAATCTCGGAATCGAAATCATGAGTTGCGTGCTTAACCTGGTGCTTTCGTCCTTTGAATCTGTGAGAAGACCGAGACTAATCAAGAATACACTGATTAACAAACATTGTGCACGGTACACAACATCGGATTTTTTTCTGGAACACTTATATATTTTCTGCATAACACTATTTAATTAACTTATCCAAATAACTTACTACTCTTTTTATTCAAAAAAATAATAATTCACATTGAGTTTTGAACATGTACTATTTTTAATACAAATTCTAAAATTCAACGTGAAAATTACTAAAAATACTAATGTAGCAATTTAGAATTTTCTTTTAAAAAAAATTGTGAAGGTAATTCCTATAGTGTATACATAGTTACATGCATATTGGGGAGGATAAAAGAAGGGTACGAGTAATACTCCTTTTTGATACATTGTCTTCAACTACTACTATTTCGCATAATAAAGAAAATGAGAGAGGAAAAAAAAGATTAAAGATAAGTTAGGAGTGATAAAAAATGATAGAGACGTTAAATGCATTGGTCAAATGGAAGGAGTTCTGATAAAATTGAAGACAAAATAACCTGAGTCACAATTTTGATAAATGAGCAGTGCAGTCTTTCTAAATTTTAATCTATTCTCCATCACTCTCATTTTATTTTATTCTTTTCAGTAGCTGTCTTCGATTTACTGTAATATGAAAAGGCATATTGAGGTTGGAATAATAAAAGCGAATACGCGACAAACGCCAAAATTAACAAGATTAAAAAAAGTGAATAATAATTAAGTTCATATAATAGTGCAATTTGAAATTAGTTTTGCTAAAATTCATTTGTACTACACACTTGTGTATATAGAAGTCTTTCCACAACCTTTAGGCTACCTTAATCCGCCAGAAGTTATGGATAATCCATCAACGCAAATTGATGATCTAAAGTTGTTCTCCTCTGACAAATCTGCCTTTGATCTTCATTCTAAAACTTCAGAATCCTCCAAATTAGCTGATCATGGTGAGACTACTAACGATGTTCTTGAAGACTTGGTCGAACAATATATTGGAGGATCATTGAGATGGACTCAAGTTTTACAAGTCATCCTTATTTCAATGGCTTCTTTCTTTGAAGCTCAACAAACTTTCATAACCATCTTCACTGATGCCAAGCCCTCTTGGCACTGCAAACAAACTCCAACAACCTGCGATTCATCCTCTCCTGATGTCTGCAAACTTCCACTAAATTCATGGGAATGGGATCGGCCAGCTCAAACTTCCGTCATATCTGATTGGTCCCTTTTGTGTACAACAGCAAGTAAGATCGTTTCAGGGTTGCCTGCTTCTTCCTTCTTCATGGGAAGTCTCCTTGGAGGAATCATTCTCGGCTTCATCGGAGACTCGATAGGTCGAAAGAAGTTGTTGACCTTGTCATGTTTCACTATGTCCGCGGCTTCTATGCTGATTTTCTTCTCCAACAACATCTGGGTCTACTCGGGTTTGAAGGCGATAAGCGGATTAGGCCGCGCTGCCATCGGATCATGCGTCCTGGTTTTGTCAACTGAGAGTGTCGGAAAGCGATGGAGAGGCAGAGTTGGAGTTGTGGGATTCTTGTGTTCTACACTTGGTTATATGTCTTTACCTGCTTTAGCTTATGTTCTCAGAAGTCATTCATGGAAGAATCTGTACCTCTTAACATCCGCTCCGGCGATTCTTTACAGCGTTTTGGTGGTTTTATTCGCTTATGAATCGCCCAAATGGATGCTTCAACAAGGTAAAGTACGCAGGGCCGCGGAAGTTCTCAAAGCATATATAGATCCTAACTGTTACTATGATTATTCAAGCTTTTCTAAAGCTGTAGCCTCTAGTACTTCTCAAAAGAGTCCTACCCGTGCTCACGAGAACAGATCATTTGTTTCACTTTCTGTGTACGACTTGTTCTGGAAGGGGGACAAAACCACCCTGCGACAGCTGATTGTGGCAATGCTCATTGGATTCGGGGTCGGTTTAATCTACTACGGCACGCCATTAGGCCTCGGGGGATTCGAGTTCAACCTCTACTTAACCGTCGCGTGCAGCGCAACGTTGGAGGTGCCATCGGCGCTGATGACATTCTATTTGGCTAAATTCCGGCGAAGAGTTTCGCTTCTTTCATTATGTATTCTAAGTGGTGCGTGTGAGCTTCTTTCCATCTTGGTTGGGAAATGGATTTGGATGCAATTCTTGTCGTTCTTCAGCGCTTGTACGGCGTTTAACTTGTTAATTATTTACACGGTGGAGCTGTTTGAAACGAGCGTGAGGAATTCGGCGGTTTCAATGGTTTGGCAAGCCATTGTGTTAGGTGGAGTCATTAGCCCTTTGGTCATTTCCATAGGCGAAGGCTACAACGACAATATTCTACCACATTTGTTGTTTGGTTTGTTGATTTTCATTTTAGGGCCATTGGTTCTTTTACTTAAAGAAACCATGCCTGGTCGACCTCAGCGTGTTCACCAAAGTTAATTCATTTGTATATATAGGTGTCGTGTCATATACTACCTTTTTCCGCACAAAAAAAAATAAAAACAAAATAGTTCTCTTTTTTTTTTTTTTTTGAAAAGGTAAATAGTTCTCATTGAGTTTAGTACAAATGTGGAAACTCAAAAAGAATTATTGTTTTGCGGACAGAGGAAATATAATTTGTTTGTTTTGATTTGTGTTCTGCGCTTTCCATTTCAACTTGAATTGAAGGGATTGATGAACCAATATTTCACCTTGGATTCTTAAAATGAATAATGTCTATTTATCGTAATCAAATTTTAATTTACTTGTTATTGTTAGTGTGTGACTACTAATTGACTTGCAGCCCGTTTGGAATAAAACTATTGTTAGAATATGGCATTGTTAGTGTCTGACATCAACGATTGAAGGGACTGGCAGCGATGAGCGAATCATTTCATCTAAGTGAACTGTTGAATTGGATCAGCGTTTAGATCTTTATACAGTTTATACAAAGAGCACGTATCTTCCTGATGCTCTCTTGTTCACGCCAGCTTCATCACCTGTAAATGTCAATGAGTTTCAAGGTTTAATCAGTCAAATCTCGTTCAATGCACACGAATCTTCTGATTTTGAAGGATATATAGTCGAAGTCTTTAAATATCAACCATGCATCACTTAAGTTAATTAAAACGATTAAAATGCCACTTCATTTATTATATTAATTAGAAAATGTATGACACTAATTTAACCATATACTCTTATTTGTACCAAAAAAAAGAAAAACACTGTGTTTTGATAGAAAAAGAACTCCTAGCAAAGAAAACACCTAAATACACTGTAGAACATATGAATTATGATTGTGGTCCTAATTTTGAGAAAACGAAGCGCAAAAAAAACCAAAAAATAAAAAAATAAAACCACAGATGACATTAATGTTTTGAGACGAAACATATACTATTTTTTGGCCCATATGAAGCATCTAATTTGTAACAGCCACCCTTTTTATTTCCATTCCTACCAAATACGAAAGATAAAGTAAACGACTACTCTATAGAGCATGGCTAGAGGAAAGTTTAAACAGTTAGCAATTAGTAACGAAAAAACAACAGAAACAATAATTAATTAGAGAGAAAAATTGTTGCGTTTTCATTTAATATAAAGTTAAACAACTAGCTGTACCTTATGCGACTTGCAGTTAGTCTGATGCGCAAGGACGACGAAGAATCCCTTAATCCCTTTAGTCATCGAGAGACGGAAGAAGATGGTAACATACTATGTCAAAGTCACCTTAATCTCCACACTCAAAACTAATTGGTTATGAGTGGGTTGGTTCGTAGAGCTTATAAACAGATGACAGATCCTTCACGACACCAATGTGGGACTCTATTTCTCAACACCCCTCCTCAAGCTTAATGGAGTATTTGGCCCATTGAAATTGCACAACACAACATAATTCATCACAAGCTCATCCGTGTGTATGGATGCAATTCACACAAGTCCAAGGCACACATGCAATTCACACAAGTCCAAAGCACACAGGTCCATAATTCTTCACCACAAGCCCACCTGTGCGCATGGGAGCGATTTACGCAAGTCCAAGGTACACGGGTCCACAACTGTGCATGGAATTGATTCACGCAAGTCCAAGGCACACGGATCCACAACTTTTATGGGATCCCGCACGTACGGGATTCATTGCGATCAGCCCTAGACGCACGGGTTTATAGTTATCACAGGTCCACAAATCGTGAACTCTGATACCATGTCAAAGTCACCTTGGGTTCCACAATCAAAACCAATTAGCTATGAGTGGGTTGGCCTTTAGAGCTTATAAACAGGTGATAAATCTTTCACGACACCGATGTGGGATTCTATTTCCCAACATACTAACATGTGAAAAATTTCTAATCGAAGTCATACTAAAAAACGGAAAATTAATCAGTTAAAAAGTAAAAACGGCGCCAGAAATATGTTACATGCAATCAATTTTTATTTTTTATTTTCAAATTTCAAGGGCAGACAAAAGGGGGTGAAAACTTCAGTACAACATAAAACTAGAGGGTGCATGGGAAAGAAATATTGAAAAGAAGTTGATACATGTACTGAAGTAGTTGTTTTGGTATGAACTAGCTTTTGCGGATACATTAATTTCACGAGAATATTTGTATGTTTGTTATTTATTTTCACCAAGAGAGGGGAGAAAAAAAAGAAACAAAAATTGAACCTTCAGTCCTTCATAGAGGGAATTTGATCTTGAATGAAAATGGAGAAGAAAATGAGCTTCAAATGATCGTGTGAACAAAAAGGTGAATGTGACTAAAGGGCGAACTACATTTTACCCTCCAAGTTTTGGCCCTATCTACCATAAACCTCTCGAATTTTAGTAATACTATCATATACCTTATTGACTCATAGTCAATATACCAAGTGCCTCTTTAACATATTATAACATTATCATAATTTTTTTGTAAACGGCTAAAAATACCCCTCAATTCATATTTTTTAAATTATATTTTAATCTTTTTAAAAATATATATCATAAATTAAGTTAGACAAAATATACTCCATATTAATCATTTTATATTAATGCACTTAGATCAAAAAAAAATTGACATTAACTATATTATGTTTTCTGAAATAAAATAATCTTCCTTAATTTTTTTTTTTTGAAATATAATGTACTTACATCATTAATCATGGATTAACTTTCATTCATTAACGTATGTCATAATTAAAGGTAAAAATCATAAATTAAGTAATTTTTACTTTTCATGATAAAAAAACAAATAAAAACAAAGTGAAAAAATAAAAATAAATAAATAAATTATATGTAAACAATTGTTATTTTTGTCATTTAATGTTTAACCCCCTGTCCAAGGGGTACATGGTAATATTATCAAAACTCAGGGGAGTTATGGTAGATGTAGCTAAAACTCAAGGGGCAAAATGTAGTTCGCCCAAAAATAAAATAACCAAAAAAATTAGTACTCCATCCTCTATCCCAACATAAGATGGTTGCTTGTTTGTTGTATTGTTTTTTAATAGAATAAAAAGAATCATTATAGTGGTGATTTAGGAAACATATATATCAACCAGATATTGAAAATAAAAAGAATTTATTCCACGAATTCTCCAAATAACCAAAAGAAATATAAATATCCATTATATAAAGCATAATTAAATAAGTTCTTCGTCTTGTTAAGTTAAGTCTTCTTGGACAATTTGTTTTGATTCGAGTTCCAGCAGTGATCTCCCTATTCAAACTCATCATTTTCATTAAATAATCAAATCTTACCTTCACTCCATTTCTATGACGCATCTTCACACTGAAAACCAATACCTTTCTTTTTTCATTCTAAACATAAGGATATATATTCATATAGTTATAACAAAATTATAAATTAACTTTCCCTTTAAAAAAATGATAAAATAGAGATGCATCTACTACATCTACGATACCACTCCCTTAACATACATACTAAAAATAAGAGTTTTGTTAAATCCATATATATACATATATATATATATATGGGAATGATTATGGTACAGTTGACAGAATCATATAGTCAATAATAAGAGACGTTAAATTACTAAAAACTATTATAGGCGTAGGATTAAAATAAGTGTACCATAAAAAAAAAAAATAGTCCTGCACACAATATAATTCTAAAGTAACTGACAACATAAACAACAGGTTTTGTCAAATACTGTGAATTGTCTTCTTAACTCCTTTTTTTTTTTTTTGTTTAATATCATCCTCAGCTAAAGATTGACATAACTTTAATTGAGAAATTTTTGAATGGTTTTGGATTTTTTTTTATTCTATATTTACATAGATTAATAATGTATTGAACCAAATTCGATCTTCCCATATGACGCTAAAAGAGAGACCAAACTAAAATTCCAAAACCAAATTCCATGAAGATCTTCTCTAGTAGACATTTTTTTTTCATGAATTAAAAAAGAGATAGAGAAAACAAATCCCACCGTGCTTCTTTGACATTGTGAAATCCCAACAGGGCCAACATTAACCAAACATGAAGAGAAAGATAACTCTGATCACTGTACCAAGTCAATTTCTTCTAATGTGCTATTTATTCTTAATACCACATTCGTTCCGCCCCAACTAATAGTTCTGTTTTATTAAAGTAAAACAGTATGACAAATGCAACTTACTTTATAGATCGAAAAGAGTATTAATAACAGTTTAACTTAATTTCCAACTTTTAACTTGATTTTGGCAACTGCGTTTACCTTTCAAGAAGAATCGAACATGTCGTAATTAAGTTCGGTTGATTACACTGACACACATAGAACAAAAATATCTGGCAATAACAAACAAGCATATGGGCAGCACTTCTTAATCCTTTGCATGAGATTGGAATTTCGACAAAGAGCAGACTAATTGGGCATTTCATAAATGGGCGACGGCAGCTACAGAGATCCAACTGGGTGATTTTTAGATCTATATGCTCATGAAGTTCATCCTTCATGGCTTTTGCTCTCTCTGGATTGCTTTCGCGACAAAATTTCTGTGCTCAATTTTCTTTTAATGAAGATACAGTACTAATCCCGATACGACTTTTTGTGTTATATTCACGAGTTAAAAACAAAATCCTTAATAGGTTTGATTACCTGATTAGTAGGTTAACAATTGATAAAGATATATTAAAATATTTTTCACGCCGCAATCATTTAATAGACGCTAAATTTTGATTGGTTATAATTTTCTAGAAAGTTCAATCAAAATCTAATAGCTGGACCATAGAATTTTCCTATATATATATATATATATATATATATATATACTAGTGATGTCTGGTCGCGCAATGCGCGACCCTGGCCCAGTCTATCTGTAGATCTTAGAAATATTTATATTTGAAAAAAATAAAATTTTATATTTGGAGCGATATATTTTAGAAATGTTTTATAAGTGTGATCATAGAAATATTTGTATTTCGCAAAAAAAAAAAAATTATATTTCGCCATGTATGTTTTAGAAATGTTTTATAAGTGTTACTTATTAAATATAAATAGCTTAATCGAATATATGTGTTGAAGTAAATGTT